AAAAGTTTAAAATAATAAAAAGAAACTTCTCTAGTCAAGCACTATCGATGAGTTGATGGCACCCTAACAACAGTCCCTCAACACACCTATTCATGTGGCAAAAAATAAGATTCAGCCACATAGGAAGAAACCTATGACATACTTTAATGACTTTAAACTCTCATTTAAAAAAATAACACCATGATAATCAAACATATTCCCTTCATAGGACTACTACTGCTTTCATGTCTTATGAACACTCTGTTTGGGACTAAAACAAATAGAATGTCACAGCATGGAAAGAGAATATTTATAGTTCTTTGGCCTCCAAGTTTGACCTGTGAATGTGCTGGCTTTATACAATACAGTCTTTTACTTAAATGGCGAGAGTCTTATGCTTCAGCTTAAGACACACAAGATGTGCCACTGGCACCATACTTGGCAACTGGAGCTACTGTGGAGATGAAAACTGAAAAACCAGTGGTTTTCATTACTGTTTTCTATCCTTGTAGAAATAACTGTACATTTATTCTGGGTGACCTTACCAGTTAAAAATAAAATACCTCTTACTATTGTTTCTTCTGAACCTCTTTTAGAAACAAAGTTTTTGTTATTTACATATAATCGTCTTGTCTACTTAATTATCATTCATTTTCAGTTCCTTTACACAGGCGTCTTGAGAATAGCTCTTCTTAATAGTGAGACAGAACTAAATACCAATCAGCAGATGTCACTCCTTAAGTGATCCTCTTCAGCTTTCTCTGTTTTTTTCAGTTGTCCTTTTTTTTTCAACTGCCTTTTCTCCATTGCCAATTATATTTTCCTTTTTGGGGGGAGATAAGGTCCCACTCTGTCACCCAGGCTGGAGTGCAGTGGCACGATCATAGCTCACTATAATCTCAAACTCCTGGGCTCAAGTGGCCCTCTGCTTCCGCCTTGCGAGTAGTTGGGACTACGCTTTGCCCCCATTTTCCATTTTCAGCCTCTGATGAGCTTCCAGGAACCAGTGGTACTAACAACCATAATACAAGGTATGCTTTCTTTTTGAATGCCAGCTTCAATACAGATATCTGTGTGGTTTACAGTAGTCACATCAGGTATTTTTCTACTCGGCGACTGCTTTTGTAGCAGATACACCTGTTAGATTTTTTTTTTTCCTGAGGAAAAGCACAAGTTTTAGTTCATAAGATAAACATAAAATTTGCCACTCTTAACAACATTAAACAAATATTTATTGATCATCTACCATATACTAAGCACCTTTTGGAGATTCAGCAATTATAAAACTAATAAAAAGTCTTCACTTCATAGCTGTTCTAGACAGACAAAACAAATAATTTTAACAAATCATGTTTTGGATGGTGATAGGTACTCTTGAAAAAGAGTAGGATAAAGAGCAGGAAAAGCCTAGGGGTGCTTACAATTCTTAAACAAGTGTTCAGGAAAGCTCTCATCATAAAGGTGGTGACATTTGAGTAAAGACTTGATGGAAATGAGTGAGCAAGCCATGTGGATATTTGGGGCAAGAACCTTTCAGGCAGAGGAAACACCTAGTGCAAAGGTGCACGTAGGCTGTCACAAGCAGTAAAGAGTTTAATTTAAGCATCTGCCAGGGACAAAAATTCAGGCAAGGCTTTTTTTGTTGTTGCTATTAGGAATCAATTTACAAGAGAGTTTAATCAGCTTAAGATGAAAATCAGTGCAGATCTGTTTAGTGTTCTCTCCCAGCCATGACCTCATTGCAAATACTGACAGCCTGAACTGCCTCTCAGATTTGGGTGGGCCTTGGATGCTCAGCCAGGCAAACCCAGATGGAGCTAGAAGAGGAAGGTTTTGGTAGCTCTGTGGGCTCTGTGCTGTCTTCATCTCGTGATCTCTCCACACGTGGCTGCATATAAATATGTAGCCAATGATTCCAAGTTTTAATTTAACCTAAAATGTAGTCCATTACCATATTTGCACTAAGAAGTAAGAATAACAGAATTTTATCTCAGATTAGCTAATGGTAGATCCTTGCCCCACAGATAGCCATGGCATGGGGCTACTGAAACAGAGGTATTTCTCATGCCACCAAATTGTGCCTTCAGTTTTGTCTTCTTTACACAGGACAACATAGTAATGAAGTCATTGCCAACATTAAGCCTTATATAGGATTTTCAGAGATTGTTATACTTACATTCAACCAATATAGAAAATCTTCACTAGGCCTAACTACCGCATAGCTAGCATAGTAGCATAACAATGCTCTCCAGCCCAGCAATAGACATCTTATTCTAAGGGGTTTCCAATTTACTAAGAACATTTTCCTAAAGCTTCTATATACACTTGGAGCCTACTGTCATCCTCAATAAGAGTAAAATATTATCAAGAACTCAACAAATGGACATTTGAAAGCAAGCACTGAGTTTAATTTATTTTAGGCCACGTTTGATTTGTTTGAAGTCTGTATTCCTTAAATATGAAGATCGGTAATTACTTCATGAGAATAAAGGTTTGAGACAATCAAGGTTTCTATAGCAAAGAGAAGTGACTGAATGACTCCATTGGTCATGATGACTTACCAGTAACTGAAAATAGTATTTTAAGATCATACTAATTCTCTGTTTCTCTGTGCAGGTTATTTAGATTTGCTTTAGATGTATAAGTCAGCTGTGGTAGATTTGAACAAACACAGAAAGTCCTTAAACTATCACTAGATATGTTATTTTAAATTTAAAGTAGGCATTGATCGTTGTGATTGTGACCTAGTATAAATTTAGAATTGTTATAACCTGATGTGTTGAGGTTGTCCCATAAATATATTTAGGAGTAGCTAGAGATGACATTTCTATAATGCACCTATGCTATAATCAAAGCAACAACTTAGAATTTACCAGCATATAAAAGAAAAACCTTAATTTTCTTTTCTTTTCTTTTCTTTTTTTTTTGAGATAGGGTGTCATTCTGTCACCCGAGCTGGAGTGCAGTGGTATGATCATGGCTCACTGTAGCCTTGACCTCCTGGCCCTTTGGGCTCAGGTGATCCTCCCACCTCAGCCTCCCACCACTCCCCGCTAGTTTTTNTTTTTTGTATTTTTAGTAGAGATGGGGTTTTGCCATGTTGCCCAGGATGGTTTCAAAATCCTGAGCTCAAGTGATCTGTCTGCCTTGGCCTCCCAAGGTGCTGGGATTACAGGCATGAGCCACCGCACTTGGCCAACTTTACATATTTTTAATCTGACAGATTTTTTGCTCTTGCTATTCTAAAAAAGTCATTGGAAAGAAATCATTTATCATTCTTTTTACATACAAAATAATGCAGTTTTTAAATTAATGAGATAGACCAATTATATAAAATTTGAAAGAGTAAAGTTTTTACCCTATTCATAGTTAAAATATACGTTACTCCAGAAAACAACAAAAAAAGTAGTGGTCTAATTCCATTTGTAAAATTTCTTTTGAACTGAATTTCCCGTTCTTTTGAACGGGAACTTATCTCACAGATGAGATTTGTGGGCCATTGTAAATACAAATTATGTACCCCACAGCTTTGAGTTGTCAGGCACTACAACAGAGGGCTTCCTCAGACTCTTGAGTCAGTCTGGGTGAAATTTTTAGCTCCCCATATACTAACTGAGTGATCTCAGGCAAGACAGATTATTTATGCCTCAACTGAGACCACAGTAAGGATAATAATAGTATCTACCTTGTGGATTATATGGGGACTGAATGAAGTAACACACATAATTTTCTTAGAATAGCGGCTGGCACATGGTGAATAAATGTTAGCCATTATTCTAATATGTAGTAAAGTGAAGAACTATCACTAGTTTTACTGGGATGAAGTACAGCATGAAATTTTTATATTTTTATTGGGTTTCATCAGTTTTTTACAGAACCTAGTATGCTTTCTGGTCTGAACACTCAAGGAAGCAAAGAAGGATGGCTCCTGTAAGTGCAAGTGACCTTTGCATATAGTGCCTGAAATCAGAGGAAGCTTGTCAGTGTGGGCAGACACTACCAGTAGACCAGTCTGACATTCCTCTTCTCTTTTAACCTCTTGAAAATTAATGAAAATTATTCGATGAAGACCCTAACATTAATTGCTCCCGATTAAGGTTTAAAACTTTAGCTTACTGTGGGTTAAATTTAGGTTTTTGATGGTCATCCAAAATCTTTGTGTCCTTTCAGTTTCATTGCAGAATAAAAAACAAATTGACTACAATGGATTATTACGTTACATCTGGTTTTTACTCCTCTCAAGAAGCTATCTGCTTCGGAAAAGGCAACCGGGGCGCCCTTCATTAATGTATCTAACTGATAGTGTAATGACGTAAAATTCCTTATTGACCCCAGCTATTCAGAGTTATTGTCTTGGAACATAGAATTTGATAATCTCTTTTCACTGCATAACTACAAACGTTAGGCTGTAAAAATGTTTTACTTTCTTCAATCCAGGTTCCAGACATTTCTCCTGATCACCAGAGGTTCTTTTGATTAACAAGGCTCCTGGTCACGAAAACTCAGCTCACTAAAATTAAGGGGAAGGGATCCAGTGTTCTGGTTCTGACTCTAAAACATCCGACCGGTTGCAGGTGTACTTGCAAATTAAATTTTGCCTCACGTGTCCTCTGTCTCAAGTCGTACAGACGGTCCAGGAGGGTGAAGCCCTGCAGCCTGCCTAGCGGGGCGTGTGCGTGTCTAGGGGTGTCGGGACACGCGCAGGACACACACAGTACCCCTTCCCTGGTCTGGTTATTACCGCAAGGCTGTCAACTTTTACGCTCCTTCCTGCGCGCACGGCCCCCTCCTCACGCTGCCACCCCCCACGCCCGCCTTCAAAGTAGGAGGTACCATTTTCATTGGATATTGCTCCTGTCACTCCTACTCTAGAACCAATCATTCGAGTTTTGGTGGGGAGGGACTAAGCCAATGGAAAGGCTCGCTACGGCCCCTGCTGGGTCCCGAGCGCCGGGAGGCGGTGCCGGGGGCGGGGTGCGGCTGGGGCGAATTAGTTGCCATTCGGAGTGAGGAGTGGGTAGAAGCGGCGGCGGCGGCGGCGGCGGCGTTTGCGGTGGTGCAGACTCCGCGGAGCGCCAGCACCTCGAGGCCCTTTCTCCCTACCCTGGTCCCCAGAAACAGGCCTCCCGGCCTTCCCTGCAGCTGCCGCGTTCTCCTGTGCGTGCAGCCCAGCGAGGGCTGAGGAGAAGGCTGCGAGCGGCCCTCGGGGCTGAGTGATCCGGGCGGTTGCCCTGTCAGCGCGATGCCTGGAGCGGTGGTGGAGGCGGCTCCTGGCTCCTCGCAGCCCCGGCCGTGACCGCCACGCCGAGCCCAGCCGGGCGGTTGGGGCCGTTGGACGTTTGTTTTCGCAGCCTTCCCCTCCCCCCTCGCTGAGGCGGCGGGGGTGTGCGTTGGGGAGGGGGAGCTCCGAGACTCCTCCCTCTCCGTGATACTCCCGCCCCTCCCCCTTACACACTCGCACGCACTATCGCGCCGGCTCCCACACGCTCGAGCGTCTCCCGCCCCGCTTCTCCGTGTCGGCCGACGGCGTCCAGGGCCCGCGGAGCCACCATGTCCACTGCCTCCTCCTCCTCCTCCTCCAGTTCCTCTCAGACCCCTCATCCCCCGCCGCAGAGGATGCGGCGCAGCGCCGCGGGGTCTCCGCCCGCCGTCGCTGCCGCCGGGAGCGGGAACGGTGCGGTTGGCGGCGGCGTGGGCTGCGCCCCGGCTGCCGGAGCCGGCCGGCTGCTGCAGCCCATCCGCGCCACGGTGCCCTACCAGCTCCTGCGGGGCAGCCAGCACAGCCCCACGCGCCCGCCTGCCGCCGCTGCCGCCGCCTCGCTGGGCAGCCTCCCGGGGCCCGGCGCGGCCCGCGGCCCCAGCCCCTCCAGCCCGACGCCGCCGCCGGCTGCAGCCACGGCCGAGCAGACACCACGGGCCAAGGGCCGCCCGAGACGGTCCCCAGAGAGTCACCGGAGGAGCAGCTCACCTGAGAGACGGAGCCCCGGCTCGCCTGTGTGCAGAGGTAGCGAGCCCAACCCTCCCGTCCTCCCGGGCTGCGTCTCCCCGACGGTGCCCTCCGTGGAAACTTCAGCCTCTTCGGGCTTCTCTTTACTAGTGCATTATCGAAGGTGTGAAAGTGGCTTTGGGAATCTCACCCCCACCCCCTGCGGTCGCTGCGGGGCTTAAAGGAGCGAACTGAAAAGCAACTTTTATTTGACCCTCATGCCGCCCCTCAGATTTTCTCTTCCATCACTCGCCTGCTTCGAAAGGTTTTTCACTTTAAAAGCTGGCTAGCTCATTCGTGTGTTTGCTGTTTGTAGCCGGGGAAGGAGGAGCTGGGCGAAACACTTAAACATGCTCACAAACTCTCCAGCAGCGGATAAGGTGGTGGTTGTAATCTCTACAGTCTCTTTGTGCTTTCCTGCAAAGTTCCTAGCGTGCCTATAACTACAGTGATAATTTTTTTATTTTTTAGAGGGATGGTGGTATTAGTTATGATGTAAGGATATCGGCTAGATGTAATGATATGTACTAGAGGGGACAGTTTTGAATGTGCAATTGAAGTATATACAATTTTTCCCCCAGTTCTCTCTCTCCCTCCGTTCCTCCCTCTCTTCCCCCTGCTCCGACCCCCACTTCTCTCCCTCTCTGCCTCTCTCTCCCCTCCCCTTAATATATTCATGCATCAGAGCACTCCTGCACTAGAAACAGTTTATGCTCAACCAGAGATTTTCATGGATGAATTTCTGAAAACTTATTTGTTGAATGTGTTTGTTTTTTCCTTCCGTTTTTAAGTACACTTAACAGTTCAGGATCTCAAGTTTCTTTTTTGTTAGGTGTCAAAGGTAATGGTAAGCTGGTGGATGCTGTGGGTATTCGTTAGCGTTTTCTGTTTTGCTTTGGTTTTGTTTATGTCTAGGGACACAGTGCATGATCTAGTTGATCCCTGGGGGAGAAAAGGAAGATTAGCCAATACAGGGACTTAAAGCTCATAAGGGAGAGTGGAATAGCTAATATTATTAGATACCAGCCTAGAGCCTACAGATGCTGCTGCTGCTGCATTGTGGAGGGAACAGATCATACTGGGTGGAAAAATCTCTGCTTGGAAGGGAAACACTGTCAAAGTCTGTACATTGTTTATGTGGTATGTGGATTTTTTTAAATGGAGTTTTTTTAATGAAGGTATTAGAGTTGGAGAAAGTGGTTGTCTGCATTATGATACATTGCAGTCTTGGTGTTTTTGTTTTAATATTTCAGACCTGTAATTAGCATGTTACTAACGCACTTCTTTTCTGACCACCTCATGGTGAACCAGGGTAGGATGTAGTGAAGTGGGATGAGTACATGAGCACCAAGAAATACATCCTGTAATCTGTATGCACTGGGAGGAATATGCTCCCCCACTCCTCCCCCAGGTCAAGCCAGCTGCTGCAGAAACTGATAGCAAATCCTGAATGAATGAATGAAAACAACGTGATCGCCCTAATAATGACCACAACTGAACACACGTCTTTGGCTGTATTTTATAGAAAAGGCCACCATTTTCTAACAGATTAATGCCATATGCAACTCCCTTGCACATTTTCTAGAGCTATACGAAATGAGAAGTAACAGAATGAACAGAAAACAGTTACATAAATTTTTTAGTGATTTTGCTCCAACAGTGAACAAATTAAGTTTTGGGATTTTCTTGTAGGGACTAAGAGGCATAAAATAAGCATTGCAGATTATGTATAGAGGGTCTCGTGGGTAAGTAAGAGAAGTTTCGGTAATTGCTGCAACAACGTAATGGCCATCTAGTACCTCCTCCCCTTTCGTATATAAACACTAACATCTTACAACAGATAATAATACAAGTTGTTTTTCTGCATCCTTCAAAAGACTTAACTGCTTAGGAATTACATGCTCCATCATCAAGCAGTTTTAATGAAATTTGTGATCTGGCTTAAGCTATTCTCTTTGTTGTAGTATGGCACATCCGAGTTTAATGCAATTTTAATGCAATCATGATGAAAACACTTTTCTGAGTCTGGTTGTGGAGCAGACAGATTTGCAGTGTCAGAGAGCTTGTGTTGGGAATGGAAGGGCTTTCTTTGCTAAAGATATTTTTCTACTGTTTTAAACACCCGGTGGTTTTGTCAATTTCTTATGTTGAAGTGATTTTTGAATGCGGGCTCCTGTGCCCCCAGTTCCCTGGTTATATCACTCCTATGTTACTTCTCCCTGTCCGCCTTTTCCCTCCCTACCCAAATTAAAACTATCCTACTATAATCTATTCTGTTTCCTTAGCTAGTTAAAATCCATTATCTGAAGAGTTGATTTAATTTTTCAAATGGTTATCTTCTCAGTTTCTTTTGAATGCTGTAAGATTCTGACTTGATTGGTTTTTAGCCTCCACTGGTCAAGGCTCCTGCTGCTGCCACTGCTGCTGCAGACACTGACATCACTATACTGCATGAATGAAAAACAACAACATGCTCCATTTCTTCCTCTGCTCTCTACCTCCTCCTTTTTCTGCACACTTCGTGTGTGTGTGTGTGTGTGTGTGTGCAAGACGATGTTAAAACTGCATTTTGAACTACATTTTGAAACATTAAGTAGTTGATGGCTCAAGGGGTATGTATTTAGTATAGAGGCATATTGTTTATGGAAAACTGCAAGTGCTATGGGCATTTGGACTAGAGGTGACATAACTGAGCATTCAGTATTTCATGCATTTTATCTGAGTGATGATTATAGGAGAAAATATAGTAGCTTAAAAATGTTTTTATGATTTTTTTTACCAAGAAATTGTGAAACAACACAATTTCTAAATACATTATATGATTATCTGCCTCTTAAGCATTCATAATGTGTATGTTTGTAGGACTAGAACTAGCGTAATAAGAAAATTGATATTCAGATTGTTTCACAATGCTGAGGAAAAGCTGAATTCTATAAATAGGAATAGGCAGTTTTAATATTATTATAATGTTAATTTATACAACCCAGGAAAAGATGGTAGTTCCCTTTATTTTTGTAACATAGTTTTAAATAATTTAAATAGTTACTATAGTAGAAAATACATAAATCGCCAGACACCTTGCTCCATATAGAGGACATGGAGTTTTACAAATTGAAACTGTTTTGTTTGTGCTCATAGATCGTTTTCTGTTTGTTTTTTTTTTTCTTTTGTATTTTTAAAACTTCAAGCCTTGTTATTTACATTCATTTCTGTACCTTTGCCATTAGTAAAATGTCATCCTCTCTCTTGTTTTGGTCTGAAGGGTCTTGAAGTGGTGAATGACAGGCTGCTGAATGAATCCTCAGGCTCCCTGTGATGTGTTTGTAATAGATGTAAAATCATAAAGTATTATGCAAATAGTTGTTTTTTTGTAATGGTAATACATAAAGTCTACCTTTGAGATAAATAGAGCAACTCAGATGAGAAGAAGCAGGATGTTAGTGTTAAAATTAATGATCTTTAAACTAAATTATTAGTAACAACCAAAAAAATATAAAGTTGCTTCTTTTTGAAACCTCACAGAGCAGAACCCATGGATTTAAACATAGTACAAATACTCACAGTTTTACTGTGCAAGATAGAAAGTAGGAAATGCAAACTTTTTTTTTTTTTGTAAAGCTAGAGCATTAGGATGAATTATAAGTTCTAAAAGATGTAAAAACAGTCATATTTAGAGTAGTCTGGTTAGAGAATACAGCTTATCTTTAACTGTACCAAATCTAATAACAAAACATGGAAGAGCTTGTAATTTATATAGCACCTGTTATGAAAAATAGCATGCGTTGGTTCCTAATTTAACATATCAGGTTTATTTAGGTCTAATACTCTAACAGATTGCTAACTCTAGAGTGAAATTTCATTAGACTTTTTCATGAGCATCTTGAGAGCCTCATTGTTTTATACATAAATAAGTTATGATTCTATTCTGAAAGATAATACAAAGCCAGCCAGAATATAATGTTAAATAACTGCATGCAATGTAAGTTTGCCTATGTGTTAATTCATTTGCCTTCAGTTTTTATCTTTTCCTTAAATTTATCTTTTTAAGTCATTTTTATACTGAGCTCAGTGGAATACAGAAAATTTTAATAATTTTTTCTCTTTTTAGAGCTACTCAGATATTCTCTTTCTATAAAGCTTATTCTCAGGCTGATATTCTTGGAAATTAAGATCCTCCCTTTCCATTTTAAAATTAATTAATTTTCTTAGAGTGCTTATAGAAACTTGTTTCAAAGCTTTCTTCCACTGAGTGAAAATGCGTTAAAGTTTTTATTTTTTTCTAAAGAGGCAGGTCTGACTTTTGGAAAAGATTTTAATTCTCAGAGAACTATACTAGAGAGCAGCAGTGTTCATTATTTACAGAACTGATTTTTTCCATCAGTTATCTCATGGTGCCTAAAATATCTAGATCGATGAGTGAATAGCAAAATAGATAAATGAATTTACAGTTATTTAATCAAAATCTACTGTCTTATGTTCAAAGATTATGTTCCTCCCAAATAACTGTTATTCTAAGCATTTTGAATATTAAATAGCTAGGACATATAAATCACCTTAGTCAGTTTTTAACTGTATTTAAAGTTCTTTGTCTATATATTCAATTGGAAATCATTTTATTAATTACAGTACATTTTACAGAAGGACATTTCACTGCAGTTTACTTTTCTGCAAGGACTTAATGCAAATTAGGATTTGTACTTTGGGGAAATGTTGAAGGATAATGGCACGCTTGTGATTTTTATTTTACTTGTGATAAGTCAGACTACATGTGAATAAAAAAATAAAAGGAGTAACTGGGCTCCATGGTAGTGAATAGAATGGAAATAAATTACAATGTTCAACAAATGGCTAGTCTAGAGAAGGTTTTCCTTAAGTCTGAAATTTTTAAAAATTCTAAAAGTCTGTTTTATTAAAACGTTCACAGGCAGTTAATAATCTGCCAAAGAGTATATTCTAATGACTTAGTTATTCTTAATTTTAGTCTGCTCTTTTCTCCAGAGCTTAATATTTCCAGACAT